CTACACCGCCTTGAAGAAATTTTTCCAACGGATCAGAGAGTATCGGTTGCGGCTGAATCCTCAGAAATATACTTTCGGTGTTACAACAGGGAAAATACTGGGGTTCTTGATCACACAGAGGGGCATCGAGGTCGATCCTTCAAAGATTAAGGCCATCTTAGAAATGCCACCACCAAGGACTGAAAAGGAGGTGCGAGGTTTTCTGGGTAAAGTGCAATTCATAAGACGGTTTATTGCAAAATTAACCTTGACTTGTGAACCACTGTTTGGTCTCCTGAAAAAAGAGAAGAAGTTCCAATGGGATGACCAATGTCAAGTTGCTTTCGAACAATCAAGCAGTATCTACAGAACCCACCCGTGTTGTCACCGCCAAAGCCGGGAAAACTGTTGATTCTGTACCTATCAGTGCCCGACATGACAATAGGCTGCATGCTTGCGCAGGAATCTGAGGATAAGGTGGAGAAGGTTATCTACTACCTAAGCAAGAAAATGCTGGAGCACGAGACCCACTACACTCCGCTGGAGAAGGCTTGTTTGGCCTTGGTATGGGCTACCAGGAAGTTGAGGCACTACCTGTTAACTCACTCTGTGATACTGGTTTCGAGATTAGCTCCCATCAAATATCTTTTCAAGAAACCAGCACTTACGGGTAGGCTAGCTCGTTGGTTGCTTCTTCTCTCCAAATTTGATCTGAAGTACATGACGCGCAAGTTTGTGAAAGGGAAAGCGGTAGTGGAGTTCCTAGCCGATCACCCAGTAGAGGGAGATGAAGCAGTAGAATATCTGTTCCTGGACGAGGCCATTCTACAGCTTGAAGAAGAGGTCTGGACTATGTACTTTGACGGAGCGTCTAACCAATACGGGTATGGGATAGGGGAGTTGTTGATAGCACCCGACAATTCCCACATACTCTTAGCTTTCAAACTCCGATTCAAGGTATCGAACAATGAAGCAGAGTATGAGGCATGTATCGCTGGCTTAGAAACCGCCCTGGAACTAGGGGCAAAAAGGTTGGACGACATTGGAGACTCGAACCTGGTTGTGTCTCAGACAAAAAGAGACTGGAAAGTGAAGGAAGAGAGGATGAAAATCTATCACCAAACTCTGGACATGCTAATTCCCAGGTTTAAGAAGTTAACCTTCACCCATCTGTTAAGAGAGAGCAACAGGTTCGCAGACGCTTTATCAACTCTATCTTCTATGATAGACATCCCTTTCGAAGTCCAGATGCGTCCGATCATCATTGAACAACGGTATGTGCCGACCTACGAGCTGATTGCTGTCATAGATGAGATACAAGATCAAAACCCTTGGTATCATGACATTTGGAACTTCTTGGAAAATGAGGCTTATCCACCAGGGGCAATGCCAAAGATAAGAGGGCGATATGAAGAATAGCTGCTCAAGAATCTAAGCGCCTGATGGAGGCCATCCACAAAGGAGAGTGCGGAGCACACATGAGCAGGGTGATGCTAGCCCGGAAGATCCTTAGACAGGGTTATTACTGGTCAACCATGGAGGAGGATTGAATTGGCTTTGTTCGGCGATGCCACAAATGCCAAATCCATGCGAATCGCATGAACATTCCGCAGTCAAAGTTGTACAACATGACTTCGCCATGGTCATTTTCAGTCTGGGGGATTGATGTGATTGGGGCAGTTACTCCAAAGGGGTCGAACGGGCATGAGTATATTCTAGTGGCGATAAATTACTTTACAAAGTAGGTTGAGGCCCAATCCTACGCAGTGCTGAAGGCATCGCATGTTGCTAAGTTCATCAGGAACAATATTATTTGCTGCTATGAGGTCCCGAATGAGATTATTTCGGATAATGGTTCCCACTTTAAGAATGAGGTGATCGACTTGTTGGAGAAGTACAATGTGGCTTTTCATAAGTCATCCATATATTGGCCACAAACCAACAGAGCTGTTGAGGCCGCCAACAAGAACATCAAGCACATTCTGCAGAAAATGATGGAAACCTACAGGGACTGGCCAGATAAGCTGTGATTTGCTCTTTGGGGCTACCGGACTTCAATTCGAACTTCTACTGGGGCAACTCCGTACTCCTTGGTCTATGAGATGGAGGCTGTTCTGCCTATCGAAGTTGAGGTTCCATCATTGCAAGTAATGGCTGAGTACTGGATAGCTGAGGCAGATTGGTAGCAGAGCAGGCTCGAAGAACTCATGCTGTTTGACGAGAGAAGACTGAAAGCACTGTATCACGTCCAAGGTTATCAACGCAGAATTGCCAGGGCTTTCAACTAGAAGGTTAAGTCTATGAATTTGAAAGAAGGGGATTTGGTGCTCAAAGACAACCGAGCTCCCATCTACGACCCTAGGGGCAAGTTCAGACCTAATTGGACTGGTCCTTATATCATCAAGTCTATCTGGTCGAGTGGAGCTGTCGTTCTTATGGACCTAGATGGCCTAGAGTTCTCCCAGCCGATCAACATGGACAAGTTGAAGAAATACTATTCCTGAGTGGCTCGCTAGGCCAAAAACCCCAAAGGGCGACCTAGGCAAAAATTAGGGCACAGAAAATTTGAAATAAGAAAAACTGAGCTCGAAAGGTTGAAAACCCAGAAAAGGCGGCCTTGGCAAAAGTTAGAGCGCAAAAGGAGAGTGTTAATACAGGAGTAAACCTGAACCGAACTACGTAAGGCTTGATTCCCATCTTTGGGATACGTAGGCAACTTCATTCTGAAGTCCAGCCATAAACACTTCCAAATCAACTTTGTCCGTGTGATCATGTTGGTCATCTTTGTCTATTCTGCGTCCAAGAGCTCGGTTGTGATCTCCAGTGCAGTGCTCTTCAGACTAAGGGCAACTTTCCAGTTGAGCGGATCTAGGTTGTATATCTTAGTGATAGATCTCAGGCGTGTCCGGTTGTGATTCATATCAAAAATGGTTTTGAAAAGTTTTAATAAAAGTTGATTTTGCTCAAATTAATCTTTTTACAACTTAGACCATTTTTGGACCAAACGGAAAATTTTCAGTTCCCACAACCTTCAATTTCATTGATTTCAATACAGAGTTCTCCGACTCTTGATACAAATTGAAGTTTCTTTTTATTACATTCATAAAGAAAACTTGAAAGTACAGATTAAAGCACTAAACTTGAGGCATAGTCAGGTGTTCCTGCGTCCCCTCCCAGAGCTTGTGGAAGCTATTGATGCCAAAGTAGGCCCGGTTTGTGCCTCGTCTTCAAGCCACGCTATGCATTCGCCAGAAAGGGCACAATTGAAAGTGGGAGTGGGGGCCAGAAGTTCTCTTGTTCTCCATGTTGTGGCATACCAAGCTAGCTGTGAGCCTCGGACTAGAAATAAAGCTGGGTATTCTATCCCCTCTTCCGGGCAGATCTGGTCGCGCCCGAACTAACATCAGAATCGGAATGGGAAGTAGAAGACACAGTGTGTCAAGCCAACCAACTGAATGCCAGGCTGCCGGGACATGTTGTAGCTCATCTCAGGTAGATCAAACTAGGGGCACCGCCAAGCAATGTCAACAGCAGATCTGCTGCACATCCAGTGGCACCACCATCCCTCGTTTAGGAAGTCAACTAGCCGAGGGCGGAAGAAATAGCTGCGTGCTGAGTATGCGGGACAAGCGTCCACTACTTTCAATTTCTCCATCAGCCATACATGGGGAAGGATGAAAAATAAGAGAGATTAAAGAATGGAGAGGTGTGCATAGAGAGAAAAGCGAGAAAGGGTTTTGAGAGAAAAATAAAGCCTGAGGGCCGAGTGATGTGAAACACACATGTGAGAAGGGTGGGAAACATTACCTGCAAGAGTAGTGGACTCCCTGCGAACTTGGTCGTCTCCCGACGGTGGAAAGCATCCAAGCCCATCAAAGTCTCGGCTAGTGTCATGACAATGCAGTTTTTGCCCTCTTTCAAGCCCTAGCAACTTCAATTAGGCGAATGCTAGACCCTTCGAAGCCAGGGACAAGCAGAAAATGCGCCAACATACACAAGAAGAGGGCATGTTGCTGAAAACTTTGCCAAAAGTGGTCGCCGCGATCATCGGCGTCAGAAAACCGATGAATCAAGCTGGGGATGTCCAATTCCCCGTTGTGAACCAAGGACCGAGCATCCTGTGCAGTTAGCCTGCATATCCTTCCTAAAGCTTGAATGTGTCCAAAACAAGCTTGGGGCAAAATCTCCTCGTCGCGCCAAGATTCCATCAAAGCTTAGAACTCTTCAATTGTGGGGCACAGCTCTTGTCCGCCAAAGCTAAATACGTGCGTAACCAGATTCCAACATCTTGCCACGGCATGGAGGAACGAAAAACATAGCGGAGTACGGCTCAACGGGAATAGTGCATATTGCCTGAAACCTCGGATGTTCAACTTTTCCAAGCCGTCCAAGTTCGCAATCCAGGTCGAGAGTTTTTCGGCAAAGAACGGTTCCATTTGGAGCAAAAATAGAGTAGGAATGAGGAAAAACCACGAAGCTGGAGCTTTTGTAGAAGATAAGGCATTGAGTGGAGGACAGGTGGCAGCAATCTGGAGATTCTCAAAATTTCTGGCCGACCGGCCAGTTCAAGTAGTCGACCGGCCACCTTTACTGGCCGACCGGCCACTTCAAGTGGCCGACAGTGAGAATAAGTGGCCGGCAATGAGCCTAAGTGGCCGGCAGCCACCCCTTGTCTCCAGTAGAGAGCCTTTAGCCTTCCTGTGTGCTGAGGATGCTGAAAACCAGAGTTTGATCCTATTTCAGATGCGTCCCGCTATTCTGTTTAACAGTTGTATTTGTTTATCGAGTTGTTGTATTTGTTTATTGAGTTGTTGCAATTTGCTTATCAAGTTTGTTGCTCTTTGCTTCTCGAGTTGTTCTTAAGTTGTCTTATTTTGTTTGTTATGTCGGTTCACTACCTGACGTTGCAATAAACAAATGTTCAATTTCCTTTAAATCCCGTCTTCATGCAAAATGATGTGATGTGATGCTCGGAATATAAAATGTAACACTTTTTCAATTAAAAAGCTATTTTCATTCCGTCATGGTTTCTTTTTACAAAGTACAAGTTTTAACGAAAATAAAACTGCCTAAGGCTGTACAATATGCTAACACTACTAGCAAAAAGAGAAATAAAGCAAAAAGCATCTGAATCGGTGCCATCCAGCTTAGGATTGAGAGGCCCTCTTCATCATCTTCCTCGGCTGAGCAGACTCTGCATCATCGCCATCGGCACCACCGTCCGAATCTAAACTGGAGCCGGAACCAGAGTCACCTCCGCTCCCCTCCTCGGAGCCCTCCACAGCATCGTCGCCACCCTCAGAACCTGAGCCGGTGCCATCGCCTCCACCCTCAAATGACTCTGACTGGGGACTCGCCGGCTCCTCCTCCTCGCTGGACTCGCCATTGTCATCGCACGTGATAGGCTTCTGGCATCTCCCTCGACTATGTGCCGAAATCTCTCTCTCTACTGCTCGAGAAGACTCTGAGGGTCCTGTCTGCAAGGGTGTGACCTGAAAAGGCAGTTTGAATACATCAGCTACAGTATATGTATCAAGTGCAAGTATGTTATGTAGAGTATATACAAAAATCAGATACAGTATGTACATGCAGTGTGTCGTGTCAGATGTGATTTATGCATGTAGTGCATCAGCGCAATGAGGTGTTAGTTTCGATGTGTCAGCAGAAGTATGCAAGGAAACTGAAAAATTACCGGAATCCTGTGGGAGGTCAGCATCATCTCTCTCCTTAAGATTATGCCCTCAAATGAGGCCATCACCTGGAGTAATCCCTCGACGTACTCTACGGACGGCTGTAAATGCAAGTTGAAATCATGAGTCCATGAATGAATAAGAATCTGAGTAAGACTGAAATGAAATGTATAAAAGCTGTAAAGTATACTGGTGGTGAGCCAGGTGTCCTGACGTATCGGTGATCAGGCAATGGAGGCTCAAGCAGAATCTGATAAAGCACTCTAGAGATCCGCCAACTGGTCAGCTCAGTCGGGGGATCAGGCCATCCAACACACCGCCTAGTAGAAGGCATCCCTCTAGTCTCACCCCTCGGTGCCCGAGCCCTACTCGTCGAGGGAACGCCTACTGTCCGAGCCCTGCTCGATGAAGCATTGTTAGCTGTCCTCCCCGTGGGAGCACGAACGCCTGCCAATGGAGGCATGAGGTACGTCTGGATGTAGGTCGTGTAGTCCCCCTCCCCAATAAATCGATCTGCGTCTGCACCTCGTATGACGTCAGTAAGCTCCTGAGAGGAGAAACTCTCTGTGTCCTACATAGACGGTGGAGGTGGCAAAGGAACTGACTGCAAAGGCAGGCCCAATGTCTGGCGCATGAAGCGCTCACCTAAGAACCAAGCTCGGTCCACGGGTCCCTCGAGCAGGATCCGGTATCGGGAGGCACCCCGAACTTCGGCAAAATGAAATCGAGCAAACTCCGGCATTGCCTCCCAAGGCTGCCATGTGATCTGCAAACAACAAGTGGATTAGTTATTAGTAGAAATATAAAATAAAGTGAAGCCGAAAACGGGAAAAACTGTGAGCTTTGAATTACCTCTGTATTCCTCACGGTGTCAAAGTACTGGTGCAAGTATGGGAGGGTCTCCCGCGCTCTCGGCTAGCACCAGCCATCGTATCGATGTGAGTAGGGTACCTCGAGCGGCGTCTCAACCTCTAGCTCGGGAGCAAGTGCTGGGAAATAGGCGTATACCCATAGCTGTGAAAAGCAAGAGGGTAGCAGTAAGAATACAGATAAATACAAATAATACAGAAAGCAAAGTATGGCACTGTGTATGGAAAATACAAGTACAGAGCAGAGTATGTGTGCAATGTCCAGAAAATACAGACTGCAGAAAGTACAGATGCAAGGCAGAAAGCAGATTGTGTATGTGCAGTGTACAGAAAGTGCAAAGCAGAAAGCATAGCAGAACTATAAAACTGAAAAGTAAAGCATACCTCCCAGGCTCTCCAATAGCAGCCCAGTATGTTCCCGCTCCTACGAGAGGTCGAGCTCATATAGCAATAGAGGGTAACAAGGCCAACGCCTCCCCAATCATAGTGCCGAACCTGGGATAAGTCCACTAAGGCGCTCAGAAGATATAGTCCAACAGTGTTCCCCCTGTCGACAAACAAAGTAGTGCCGAAGAGGAACATGAGGAAACCTCGAGCGTATTGCTCTGTAGCCTCGATCGTCGCAGGCTCTCCCCCTTTGAAGTGGTCGGCGAACCAAGTATACCGGACCAAGCCTGATAAGCGGTAAATAGGCGGATGTGCTCCCAACAGGTAGGTCCAAGCAGCCTCCCACTCACCAATGTCAGAGTCGTACGGGATCGGCTGACCTCCCACCTCAAGGCCTGTCAGCATGGCGAAGTCATACGGGGTCATGGTCATGTCCCCGGTGGCAGAGAAATGGAAGGAGTTGGTGGTGTCGTGCCATCTCTCTACCAGTGCTCCTAACAGGGTCCTGCTCACCATGAGACGCGAGAGCCCCGCACAAAATAGGCCGAATCCTGCCTCATCAACAATCTAGCATACGCCATCAGGGAGCTCCATGTACCACTCCTTCGCCGTGATGGACCCATACCCGCGGGTAAAACGGGAGTCAACCTGTGTGAATAAGCAGAGATACAGTATGTGAAAGTGTTCAGAAGAAGCAGAGATACAGTGTTGAAAATGTTCAGAATGAGCAGAAAAAATACAGTGCAAAAGTGCGAGCTATGCAAGAAATGTAAAGTACATCGCAGAAAATATAAGAGTACAGTGTGTACCTCAAAGGCGTCGTGGGATAAATGGAACTCAGGCTCCCGTAGTAAAAGATCTATGGGCGCGCGCCGTGCAAATTCAGGGAAATGGCGCACTGTGCTAGACGGAAGCACATGTGCCTCGGGATGGCACGTCGCTGGGTCGAATGGCCGGACTCTCGGCGGTAATGGAATGTGCCCAAGCTCCCCCTCTATCCTCGGAGGGTCCCCGTCGTGTGGCGCGTAGTCTGCCATCTGAAAGGAAGGTGAAAAAATGAGCAAAATGGACAAAAAGTGCCAAAAGTCAACAAAAGTCAACCCTCGGAAAGGAAAAAGTCAAAGAATGTCAAAACCCAGGAAATGGGCGCTAAACTCAAGATCAACTTGAGGGAAACAAACCTTGAATGGTGAAAATGGAGAAAAAAACTCCGAAAACAAGTTTTGATCGGTTCAAAACAAAGAAAATCGAAAGGTTTTTGCGAATCAACTTCGCTAGGGACGTTGAAAAACGCAAAAAGTGTACAGATCTGTGAAGGAAAAGTGTTTGGGGTTGAAAAATAAGGGATTTCGGCAATGGGTGTGTGAGAAAAAGTGTTTGGGGTTGTGTTTTTAAAGTTCCCCATGTAAAAAACCAAAACTGCCCCGAATTTGTTGCAACTAGCTGACCGACCAGTTTTTGTGGCCGGCAGATGTGGCAAGTGGCCGGCATGCTTCTAGGGTGGCCAGCAGAATTCTAGTGTACTCCCTGTGTGTTTTCAGGCTGTTTTGAGTCCTTGGCCCTTAAGAAAGTACAAGAAAAGTCCACTTTTTAGCTCAAAATGTCTCTGCAAAAGTTCAGCCCATGTCTTCGATGCGTGACTCATCGTCAGCCGGCATGCACAAGGTGTATCCTTTTGAAATACATTGTAACCCTTCCAAGAGATAAATCAGAGGTTGCAACCGAATCGTTCTTTCTCAGACACACATTTCTTTATTCGATGTTTCACATTGAACATGCTATCGATGTTGCATTGCATGTGCATCGTTGTCATTGAGCACAGAATACGTATGATGCAGTGCGTTGCGTTGCCCATGTTTCTATGCTGCATAGAATATTCATGTCATGTTGTATTGCATTGCGCATGCCCTTACATTCGTATAGAAGTTGTCCGTACCTGTTGCATTGTGCATACATACGGTGTTGCATAGAATATGCTCCATGTTTTGTTACATAAGATATGCTTGTGTTTCGTTCCTCGCATGATGTGCATGAAACATGCCTCGCTAAGCATTGTGTCATGCTGTCAATCTCGCATAGAACGTACATTCTTATTATATTGCATTGTACCTGTAAAGTTTCTTTCTTATGTAGGCACGATATTGCATGTACGGTTCATTTGAAGCTAGCGCAACCAGATAATATTGTATGTACGGTTCATTTAGAGGAATTCTGGGCAAAACCATTCCTCTCCCTCATATCGTTGGTTAGAGACATTCGGGTACGCCCGATGTCTACACTGACTTTTCATTGGTTAGAAACACCCGGGTACGCCCGATGTTTACACTGACACCTTGTTAAAAGTATTGGGACATGCTCCGATGTTTATACCACCCTTCGGTGCTTGCACCGTTTCCCTTCCCTCTCTCGCGTGTGATACGCTGAGAGGTGTTTCCCTTCCTTCTCTCGCATGTGATACGCTACAGGTGCTTCCCTTCCCTCTCTCGCGTGTGATACGTTGAGAGGTGCTTACCTTCCCTCTCTCGCGTGTGATACGCTGAGAGGTGTTTCCCTTCCCTCTCTCGCGTGTGATACGCTGAGAGGTGCTTACCTTCCCTCTCTCGCGTGTGATACGCTGAGAGGTGTTTCGTTTGAGACATCGGGTTTTCCCGGCAGTCACTTCTGGCCCTTCCTAAGTGAGACACAGTGAAGATTGTATAATTTTCTTACATCCTTTCTGTTAAAGTGTGTGGGACTGCTGTAACTTGTAGGTTTGCTTAAAATATTATATTTATTTTGCATAAATGCTTCTTTACAGCCCTCTTTGCATGATCATAGGTTATGCTCTTGCATCATGCATGTCATTTGCATTTTGCCCTTACCTACAGGCGCATCTGTTTTGTTATCTTGCCTGTTTGTCTAAGTCTTCGGTCTTGTCAAAAATGGGTCATCTCTGGGCTTTGACATTCACTCCTGTCATTTCATGACTTCTGAGTTCTGCCAAAGAGGGGCAACTGTAGACACCCCATTTTTTACCGACCTTAAGACTCAGACATCATCGTTTGTACGCGCGATGATTGTGCATGTTTGTGCTTGGTTTGAGGTTCTCGGCTGAGTGCCTTGTCTTTAGGCCTCTTTACACTCTGTGTTTTGGCCTTGTTTTTGGGCCAAACCTTGGTGCCTCTTGCCTGGAGGGGAGAAGGGCCTTGCCAGCCACTTTTGGCTATTACCGGCCACTTTTCCTTCTTGCCAGCCACTTGAAATGGTCGGTCGGCTAGGGGCGGTGGCCGGCCGGCCACCTGAAGTGGCCAACGGCCAATTTTCTCCTTTTTCAGATATTTTTAGATCTTTTGAACCAATTGTTAGTCACTGAACACATCCTCCATACACGTGTATGGAGGGATGAAGCAAGCTTTTTGCTTGCTTGTTCTATATAAGGGGAGGTCCCTCCCCCTATTTGAGGGTTCTAAAATTTTAGAGACAAAATTTCACTCTCTATAGAACTCTCTCTCTCTCTCTCTCTCTCTCTCTATACTTTTTGAAAGTGAGTTTTCTTTGCATTTTTGCACATAACCCTCTTAGCCAACACCACTACTTTGGAGCTGAGGTTTTTGGAAGGCTTTGTTTGGGCTCAAAAAGCTGGCTTTGGCTTAGAAGTTACTGGTTTGGCTATTGTGCTTCAAGGGTAAGCATTTACCCCCTTTTAACTTTCTTTGGTACACTAGTTTGGGTCACCTTTGCATGCTATTTTGGCCTAGTTATCAACTACAAAAACCTCTATTTTTAAGTGTTTAAAATGGTTGTTCAAGGCCTTTTTGGAGTTAGGGGTGGTCCACCCTCTTTTGTACTTTATTTGCTAAGCTTGGTGCTATCCTTTAAAGCTTTTAAGGCACCCTTTGTTTGGCCTTTTCACCACTGAAACTCAGAGGTTTTTTCAGTGGTAGAAAGTTAGTTTTGAGGACCAAGAAAGGGGGGGTGGTCCCCCCTCCTCACATCTTGTTTGCATGTGTTAATGGCCTAATAGTTGAGCATGTTTTTCTACCATCTCATGGCTTGTTCTTAGCATGTTTTTAGCCTTATTTTAACATGTAATAGCTCTGTTTTTGGCTGGTTGGAGCGCCTCTTGTTTGCTTCTTACACTTGTAGTGTAATCTTGCTCACTAGCCTTGTGTGCTTAATGATATAGCCTATTGTTCAAGCATGTGTTCACTCCACTCCAGCATATTTTTGGCCTTCCTTTAGCATGCTTTAACTCTGTTTCAAGTGGTCTTGCTCACATGTGCTCCGCTTTGTATAGCTATAGTGTAAATGGCCTTGACTAGCTTTGTGTTTTAGGCCCTATAGCATGCTTTATTTGAGTGATTTGCATGATATAGCATCATTTAGCATATGATTTTAGAGCATATGCCTCTATCATACTCTCACATCTATCACTCTTTAAATACTTTTGGGAGTTGTGCCTTATGCCTTGCTTATGAGCCAATTTGTGTGCATATTTGTTTAGTCTTTTGAGCTTCAATTCCAGCATGTTTAGGCCATTGTTTTGGCATGATTAAGCCCTGTTCATGGTTGGTTTAGTCATTTAAGCTTGCTAGTGCATGCCTTTTGTGTGATGCTCTTCACTAACTTTAGTGCTTTGGGCCCTTAACATGTCTTGTATGCATTGCTTACATGATAGAGTCATTGTGCATGTCATTTCAGCCACTGAAAAGTCTGCCACCTCCTTCATTTCTTCACTTTTCCTTTTGCTTTGAGGGTGTGTTGGCCTTAAGGTTTTGTTTAGCATGAGTTAGAGTTTATGCTCAAATGGCTTTAACCCTTTTTTAAGGGTTCCTCCTAGTCAGGGGCATGATCCCTCTCTCATGTTTTAAGCCCTACTTTGGTTGACCCCTCTCATTAGAGGACAATCACATTGAACCTAACCAGTTAATGGACTAATTGGTAAGCTAAAATGAGTAAACAAGAAAGTGGACAAGTAAAACATGTGAAAGATAAGCATGTTGTTTGCATTGCATTGTGTTTGGATCGGACGTTAATCCAAACACGAGAAATATGGGACGTTTCGTACTCAAAGTGATGAAACATGTTACGTTTCTTGGTCGCCAACCCCCTTGATCATGCATGATAGGGTGGAGGCTCTTTGTGTATTGTTTGTGCATTCATTAAGCTTGTACAAGCTTGGGTTTCCGGCCATCATGCATTGAGATGCTTGGTTAGTGGCTTGAAAGCCGAGCGCCGCACTCCTTTGAGCTTGAGAAATGATAAGGAGTGTAGTAGTACACACATTTCCTGCAAAATACATTGATGTGCCTCTATTGTCCTCTATTGCAGCAAAACCAGAAGTCTGGAACAGCAGGTGGCCGACTGGCCACTTTCACTAGCCGACCGGCCAATTAAGGCGGCCGACAACCACTTTTTGTGGCCAACCGGCCACCAGTCCAATTTTGTGCAAAGATGATCCTGTTTTGGAGCAGAAACAGTGTGGAGGTTGGTTCAATGTTCAGAAACCAAGGCAAGTGCAAACAGAGGCAATTGACGGCAAAGCAATGGATTTCCAGGATGACGCCAACTGAGCATGCATGTCTCCCTCACCCGCGAGGCCATTTCATTGCTTATGATTAGTTTGTGTAATTATTCATTCAATTTGTTTTGTAATATTCTAATTAGCTTAGATTAGCTATTTATTTCAATTCGGTTTGTAATAATTAATTAGATAGAGTTAGTTAATTAGTTGGTTTGTAATAATTATCTTTATTCGGACCCTCCTTCGAAAGGGCGCAATGTTGTAATAAGCGTACGCGCGTGTGTGTGCATGTCTTCCAACCCCATTTCTTTCTCCCTTTTATCTACCATTTTCGATGGTTAGTTTTAGGGCATTTTTCAATTAGCATACTTTATGCTTGCATGTTTTCATCATTCATTTGTCTTGCATGCACCGGGCTCAATGCATCATTCAAACTGCATTGTATTTCAGTACACTTCTTTGAATACGTGTTTAACAGCATGTTATCAAGTGTTTGTAGACGTCCCCGAACGCCCCGGGAGGAACGAGCTCCCGTTCCGTTCATTTGGGGTCACTACAGCTCAAGGACTTCTCAAATTTGTCACGGTTCTAAGTCTGAACCAAAGAGTCCAAATTCGGCAAATCGTTTTGAGAAAACAGATTTTTGAAAGAAGTGCCAAACATGGACTGCTTTGCCAGATACAGAGTCGCCACCTAAATATTTTTTATGGGAGAATTTAGGAAACCCTGACTCGGTGCCGAAGGCCACATGTCCGTCATCACCGGAGTTGTCTCGGCTCGGGAGCTTGGGTACGATCGGGGAAGGTCAGCTATGAGCACCCCCTTTCGCCCGGTCCGAAGACCGGCCTCTACTAACCATGATATCCGATTTTGAAAACGTTATGTGTTCTTACCCCGGTAACCAATTATTAGCCTAGAATTACTATGTTATGCGCGCAGCAAACAAGTATAGACCAAATCGCCCAAATTGGAACAAAACATTTCATGATTGCTTT